AGAGCCTTTCCAGACCAGGAGTGGAGTATAAACGCCACCCAGAATCACTGACTTTGTGAGATGGGTGGCTATATAAATTAGACAAATAAACAAATAAAACAGTTGCTCTAAGAAAATAAATTAGTAGACTTTCTTTCCTCTAAGAGCATTTAGGGTACCTTCTACAGTATTAAGGGCGTGCCATTTTAACACCAACCTTCAGAACTGGACTGAGTTGTCTGGCCTAAGATACCTCATAGTTAGTCTCGGAGCTGAATTAACCATGTTGAGTAAGGAATTTGAACCTAGGACTTTGTGATTTATTTTTGTCACACTGCTTCTGGCTTACAGACAATGGCTGTACCTAGCAACTGAGAGCAATCAGTTTCTTTTACATAAACCTTTTGCTGCTTAGAAAAGGCATCCTTCCAGGGGAATGTTTCTGACTTATCATCCTTTAGTTTCTTCTAGCCACTGAATAAAGCCACATGAGTTTTAGAAATCCAAAAATATTTGACTTCCTGGGGATGGAGCACTTGCTTTGCACAGTGTCCCAGATGTCCCCAGCATTTCCAGGTAGGGCTGGAGAAGATAGACTGCTTTGGAGAGCCAATGCCGATGAGACTAAATATTTATCAAGCTCCCCAGACCAGTGGTCTCACTCAGTGTAAGGCAGATGGAGGTAGATCTCAGTGGTGTTTGTAGATGCAGTGTGATTTCTGTAAAGAGGGCAACACGGAGTTATTTTTCTTGCAGGCTCAATCCCAGGGATCAATAACACTGAAAATAATTCCAGCCATCAAAGAAGAAGATCGCCTGAAGGACAGCAAGGTAAGAGAGCCTGTTGACATGTGAAAACATTACAAACTTATATAGATGTTCTTCTAAACATGTGTTCCTGTTCTAAGCATGTTTAATGGGATTGGGTAGCCTGGTACTTCCCATGTGTGTGAAGACTGCCACTCCTAGACTTCTTAGCCTCCATAGCTTTTGTCCAAGTTGGCAGGGAATTGTGGGGGTTGTCAAATATGTTGGGGGTAGGTGTGCCCATCTTAGGAATGGCAGGGGTAGGCTATCCCAGAGCCTTAGAGTTTTTCAAACTTGGCAACTTTAAGATGTATGGACTTCAACTCCCAGCATGCTGGCTGGGGAATTCTAGGAGTTGAAGTCCACACAACTTAAAGTTGCCAAGTTTGAAAAGCACTGCTTTAGTCAAATATTCCTGAAGGATGGGCTGGAATCATTTGTATGTTTGTACTTATTTGAACAATGTTCCCAGCTTGTTAAAAATGCTGAGATCTGCCCTCTGTCTATTTGGAGAATTCTTGTGACTTCCAGGCCAGAGCTGCAAGTCTGCAGTACTCTAAACAATTTGGTTTCAAATAGTTTTAGTGTCCTGAGCACATATCAATCCTATCCCCTGGGGATTTCTATGGAAACCGGATTTTGCATGAGGACACCATGGCAATCTAACTGGTTTGAAACTAATTTTCCTTTCAAGTGCAGATTTGGAAAATGGAGTGGAAAGGGTACAATTCTGGTGGGTGGGGAGTTGAGGCAGTTCAACTGATTTCTGGACTCTGGGAGGAACAGAAGTGTTGTGAGGAGGTGATAACCACAGTGGCAGTGACAGCTTTCTCTTTTTTCCCCTTCTTAGAGTTTAAAAGTGTCACTGGCAGTGGCAGCATATATAATTTTTTTTTTCTGCTTAAAAGCACCAGCGAAACACCAGCTGCCATTTATTTCCCCCCTCTACCTTTCAAGAATGGACTTGGAATAATGCTAGCAATAAATTAGCTAGTTAATTGGTTTTACAGGTGGCAGGTTTTTTTTTTTTTTTTAAGCTGCCACCACATCAAACCCTGCTTTTCTAAAAAGTGTAAAAGAGTGGGGATTAGGGGGAGAGGAGGAAGCTGTTCTCCCAAACTACTCAAAATTATTGAATTATTTACACAAATCTGTGAATGGGGGTGGTGAGCTGAGGAAGGAACAGTTTGTCCCAGTCATTTTTGCATATATATCTCTTTTATCCTTCTCCACTTTGAGTATCATTATTTTTTCATCTTTTTTTTTTTAATTTGTTTTCATATCCCTAAAGCTCTGAGTGCTATGGGTTCGGAATGCAATCCATATACATTTCTGTAGCTTTTCTTCATCTGCATGAAATTGTAGGAAAGCTGTAACTATGGTCACGGTTATCTTTCTTTCATCTGGTAGGTATTCATGAGAGCCCTGTTCTCCTACAATCCAAAAGAGGATAAAGCTATTCCATGTCAGGAGGCAGGACTACCATTTCAGAGAAGGCACATCTTAGAAGTGGTGAGCCAAGATGACCCAACGTGGTGGCAGGCCAAACGTGTGGGTGACACAAACCTTCGGGCAGGGCTGATTCCTTCTAAGCAGTTCCAAGAAAGGTGAGTTGGGAAGAACAATGGCTTGATGTGCAAGACCTGGATTAGTAATATGGTAAACAAAGCTGTGTCTCAGTTCAGACATAAATCAGATCGTGGTTTATTTTTATGAGGGCAGCTCATGAGTATTCTCACTTGTACATTTCTCCTTCCCTCAAGTGACACAAAGGAAGCAAGGAACTTGTGTTTCCAGTGGTTGCTAGCACGCGCGCATGCACATGCTCTCTCTCTCTCTCTCTCTCTCTCTCTCTATCTATATATATATTCCCCCCCCCCAATGTAGCAATCCAGAATTTTCACAAGCCATAGTTGGCTCTATTTTTAGATAGAGTGATGGTGACAAAGGGTGGGGCAACACTTAGCTTTTCCTCCCAAGCTCTCCAACCATTTCTATTTCTTGGAGAATAGCTATGTGTAGTAGACAGTGTCCTGGACTGTCTAACTGGGTGGTCACTTACTTACTGAAGTAAGATTCAACTACCATCCTGCTTTCTATACTCAGAACAGAGTGCAGATGGCTTCTTATCCTTGGCCTAAGCCACAATATATTTTGGGCCAGCTCTGGCACAAACCAAATTTTGACTGCAGACTAGGACGCCTAACAAAATTTAAATAATTTACTGGGTTCCAGATTTGAGGAGAAAGTAGCTACGTGGAGGTGAATAACTGACTATGGTTTTTAATGGCTCAACATGAAATAGTCGATCTTCTCCCTGCTCCCTGTGTGGCACCTTTGGGGCCATAGATGCAGAGAAGTGCCCTGGATTAGATATGCTAATACCCCATTATGGTATGACTAGGAAAAGGGCTTGTTTTAAGCGGCTGGGCCAAAGCCTATAGGACGTTCAGCTGTGGATGTATCTGGAAGTGAAAAGAAGGTCCGATGCTGTAAAGAACAATATTGTATAGGTACCTGGAATGTAAGATCTATGAACCA